AGTAGTAGTAGTAGTAGCACGAGCAGCAGCAGCGGCAGTAGTAGTAATAGGTGGTAGTAGTAGTGGTAGTAGTAGTAGTAGCAGAAGAAGTAGTGGTAGTGGAAGCGGCAGTGGTATTAACAACAGAACTAACAGCAGTCGTGGTCATGATGGTGGTGGTAGTGGTGGTGCTAGTAGCAGTACTAACAACAGCAAAAGCAGTGGCGGCGGTCATGGTGGTGGTAGTGGTAGTGGTATTAAGGGTGTGGGGTCGAAGCAGTACTAGTAGCAGCTGTCGTTGTTATTGGTGATCTTGTTGCTGTTGTTGCTGCTGGACCCGAGAACCCTAGAGCTCTAAAGCATTAAACCCCAAGCCCTAAACCCAAAAGTCTAAAAGCCCTAAAATCCCAAAGCCCTATTATCCTGAAGCCTTCAACCCAAAACCCTTAAACCTGAAAGCCCTAAGCCCGAAACTCCAAAGCCCTAAAGTCCTAAAGCCGACGGCCTTAAAGCCCCAAAGCTCTAAAGCCCATGCCCTAAACCCTAAAGCCCTAAACCTTAAAGCCCTAAACCCTAAAAACCCTAAAGCCCAAAACCTTAAAGCCCGAGAACCCAAAAAAACCCTAAAGCCCTGAAGCCCCAACACCTTACACCCAAAGCGTGCTCGAACGACCACCCTAAACCCTAAACCCTAAACCCTAAACCTCTTCGAAACAACCTGGACATAGCAGACTTACGAAACCTTTAGGGTGGGTTAGGGTGCTGAGTAACAGCAGTGGTATTAGTAGGTCCTAATTAAGACTAGGAAACTCCGAAGATCGAGGGCCTCCCTTGCCTGTCTTGTCCCCGTCACCCTCGAGAAGAAACGGGTAGTCGTCCATGGCAACCTCAGGATCCTCCATCGGCTCGTCGTCGCCGCCCTCCAAGATCTCGGCGACTGTGTGGCGTTTCGTCTTCCTGACGAAGGAAGGGTTGCCAAGTGGGGTTAGGGTTTAGGGGCTACCAATCCGTATCATTCGACACATAATCTAGAGCCAGGGCACTTGTTGGTTCCTTTGACTTTGACAGCCACCCAGAACATCCATTCGTCGCAGTACTCCGACTTCCTCTGCGAAAGCATCAGGAGCACACAAGCTAAAAGTAATGCTCATGTGTATGTAGTATGCCATTCGGATAACTACAAAATGTCCTCTTCCAGCCGGGGCGTTTCTCACAGCTCTTCTTGGCACCCTTGATTTTTTTCCTCGGCTAAGGGCATCGGAGAATAGCAGGAGTAGTGGGTTTAGGGTTTGGGGTTTAGACACAGCTCTGTCTACTGTAATCCCAGCCACTCGCTCCATCCCTTGTCAATCATCTCCTGTTCTGTTAGGAACTCATACTCTGTCTCCACAGTCTTCTCATTGATTTCCTCATACTTGCGGTTGATTCGCTTCGAAAAGAGCACCTGGCCAGAGCTGATATAATGCGGGAAAGATAAGATTAGTGAGATTTCTGTTTTAATCGAGGCAGTGGAACGGGGTCGCAGCCACATTTCTCGAAGCTTCGGTAGACTTGGTCACGACTGGATAGATTCTTGTAGGAGTCGATGACATCCATGGGGATTTTGTATGTCCCGTCCTCCCTCGGTGCACATAGGCGTGCGAGCCTTTTCATGAGGGTCGCTTTGCTCACCTGTTCGGGGGGCTGAACGGTTTCCTCTCCGGGGTCGTACTCGTCATCCTGTTCCGTGGGCTTGGGGGCTGCCTTGCTGCTAGGGAGCATTTTGGGCCTCGGTTTGAGGGCTTCCTGGCTAGGAGCAGCACTGCTGGCGATCGGGATCTGGGGTCCCTTGGGATTGGCTACGGCTTCTGCTACGGCTTCTTGCTTTGTACCATCGGGTTTCTTGGGATTGGCTGCGGCTTGCTCTTCGGTATGGATCTGGGGTCCCTCGGGATTGGCTCGGGCTGCTTGCTTTGTACCATCGGGTTTCTGGGGATTGGCTGCGGCTTGCTCTTCGACGTGGATCTGGGGTCCCTTGGGATTGGCTACGGCTGCTTGCTTTGTACCATCGGGTTTCTGGGGATTGGCTGCGGCTTGCTCTTCGGCGTGGATCTGCGGTGTTTTGGGATTGGCTAGGGCTGCTTGCTCTGCACCATCGTGTTCGGGATGGACCTGGGATCCCGAATCATTGGCTAGGGCTGCTTGCTTTGCACCACTGCTTTCGGCATGGGCCTGGGCTTGGGCTGGGGCTGCTTGCTTTGTTTTGTCGTTGCCCTGAACTTGCTGGGCCGGCTCCATATCCAAAGTATTGGGGGTCTCGGCAAGCTGGGTCTCCGGGATGTGCTGGGTGTCTGGAGTGGCAGCCGGCGGGGGGCTCGATACTTGCGAACCCGTTTGGGACGAGTGCCAGGAGGTCCCACGAGACACAGACATAGCATCCTGGCTGAGTAGAATAGAACTTTATGTCCCGACCCCACTGCGAACATAATTTCCTAAAGTCTTCGAATGTAAGGGTTTAGGGTTTA